TAACCCAGCATTTTAGGAGGCTGAAGCAGGAAGGTTGCAATAAACTTGAGGCCATTCTAGGTTCTAATAAGCTTCAGGCCAACATGAGCTACAGATAGAGACTGTGTGAACGCCCTAATAGCTTCATTTACTCATATCTCCACATTAAAAGGAAAAATAAGAAAAATCAATTCCAATAAATGCAAGCAATACATAAATAAATTATTTCTTTGTAAAGCCCAAAAAGAAGCACAGGCAACTAAGGAATTCTGAGAGCAGGAGAACTAGGCTTCCCCTGGGCAGGGCATGCCAATCAGCTATACGCTACCAAACAACCACTCTATGGAGTATACAGGGAACATTACACAGATTAAGCAGGCTGCATTCATTCATTTACATATGCATAGGTGTATGTGCAAACACACACACATACATATGTGTGCATAGAACAATAATCAAAATAAAGTCTTAGGAACTGAATTTGAAAGAGATAAAGTTGGGTATATGAGAGGAATTGTAGGGAAGAAAGGAAATGGAAGATGTCAGTGAAAAACACACATAAAAAGCAAAGCCATACCCCCAGTCATTGGAAATCACTATAGTAGCTTTCTTTCTCAAAACACTGATTATGGAGACCATTAAACTTTCTCTGACTTGTCAGAATAATTTTACTAAACTAAATTTTTCAAAGGATGTCTCAGGTAAGAAATGTCAATAAAGTAATTAAAAATGAAATATGATTCCCAAACCACAAATAAATGACTAACTTAGAGAAAAATCATTGATGGATTCTCAAATATGACATGAAAAATTGGTCATGACACATATACCAAAAATGAGTATGATTTAGATCACAGTTTATGGTAAAGAAACTTTACTATGTACCTTAATGTTGCTGAAAAGTGAGCAACAACTGGGGGCAAAGTATGGACACAACAAATGTGCTTTCATGCTTTACTTGATGGCGGAAACCAGAGAAATTGAAGGATGTTGATGAATAAGGTAACCTCTAAGCTTCACTCAAAGATTTTAATGTTATTCTTCTCCCCAATTGGTACCTGACAGCAGCAGAGGAAGAAAGGAATGAAAAAAGCTGAGTGGCTGAGAATCCCCACCTGGTTGCACACAGGCTTGTAATTGAGCCCAGGATTGTTCAGGATTTTCTCCAACTGCCTGCGGTTGAAGTTGGACACCCCGATGGACTTGGTCAAACCTGCATCCTTACACTTCTCCATGGCCTAGGGAGGAAAAATATGCCAAAATATGAACTAATGTAAGTGAAAAATCTAGGGGCTGGAGAAATGGTTTGAGGGCTAAGAGCACTGGCTGCTCTTCCAAAGGATCTGGGTTCAATTCCCACTACCCGCATGGTGGCTCACAACTATCTGTAACTCTAGTTCCATGGGATCTGACACCCTCACACAGACATGTCTCACACAGGCATGTGGGCAATCACCAATGAACTTAAAACAGAAATAGTTAAATTATTAAATGAAAAACTATAATGCTAGAGGGAACACTGTAAGGAAACAAAAATTAAACCTCCTGGCATTACTTCTTAGTAAAAATGAGGACAGTAAGGAAAATGATAGTATCAGTTATTAAGAGGACCCTGAGCTATCCTTAGTTACACTCATTATCATCATTTCAGGCAAACACCGCTTCATTTCTATTATATCAGAGTCATGCATGGTCCCCAAATCTTAAGCCCTTATAAAAACCATTAGTTTTTACAACATAGATTCACACCTCGCTCTCAAATTCTGACCCTCCACTCCCTCTCTGCACTTCTGGGCTGTGTTCTCTAATCCAAGTACTCACTTCCCAGGTGGCACAGAAATCCACTTTGTTAACTATGAACTTGCCATCCTCATCTCTTGGAAAATAATTCTCTCCTGGCTGGTAGAGAGACAAATGTTAAAGTAATCTCTCAACAAATGCATTTCCTCACATTAACAAAGCTCACTGAGGAAGACAGGGCTGTAAAGAGAACTCGGCAGCAGATGTGTGAATCATATTGCATTTAACAGTTGGCATGTGTTTTCAATGTAGAGTTGTAAAGAATAAAGAAAGTCCTTCTGTGCCATAGTGGTTTTTATTTTTTCATTTTTATTAATTACAGTTTATTCACTTTGTATCCCCCCTGTACCTCCCTCCCTATTCCCATCCCAATCCCACCCTCTCTCTTCCCCACCCGTGTCCCTCTCCCAGTCCACTGAAAAGGGAGGTCCTCCTCCCCTTTCCTCTGATCCTAGTGTTTTTAAACTTAATTTTTAATAACTTAATAAATTACTTCAAGGTACTTAGACTATTTTGATTTAACTTTAATTTCTATTCAATGTCACTTTCACTTAGGAATTTGGCAAGAATATGGCAGTGATTTCCACCACGAATAAACTCCATTATTGGCCCATGGCAAACAATCAGTCTTCCACACATTTGTGGGTGCTTCAGGCCTAGCAAGTAAACAAATGATGAGAAGACAGGGTTGCTGGGTTTTGTTTCATTGTTTTCTTTCTGTGGTGTGTGTGTGTATATGGCTTTGTGTCTCTGTGTGTGTCTTTGTTTCTGTACATATCACAACCATGAAAGAGCAGACAAAGGCCAGAAGAAGGAGTAAGGTCCCCTGAAGCTGGAGATACAGGCAACTGTGAGCTACCTGATATGGGAGCTGGGAGCTAATGTCCTCAGCAAGGCCAGTAAGTGCTCTTACCCACTGAGCTATCTCTCCAACCTTAGACTGCTGTATTTTAAAAACTACTTAGATGATATAAAGTACAAAGAAGCCAACACATGTCAAAGAACTAGAATTTCAAACTATATCAAGGCTAAATATGTCACCAATAGAAATGACTGGAATAAAAACTAAGCAAATCTGGAGCTGGAGAGATTGCTCAAAGGTTAAGAGCATTTGCTGTTCTTCCAAAGGACACAGGTCTTTTTCAGTACCCACATGGCAGCTTATAACTGTTTATAACTCTTATCCCAGAGGATTCAATTCCATCTTCTTTGCTCAGGAATAAACACAGGCATGGTACAAGACATACATGCATACCAAACACTCACACATATAAAACAAAAACAACTTTTAAGAAACTTAAGCAAGATGGGGGAGCCTCCAGGGAGTCTATGGGAGTGACACTAGCTGAGACTCCTAGCAATGGGAGATAAAGAGCCTGAAGTTGCCACCACCTATAGCCAGGTTAGACTTCCAGTAAAGGGAGGACGATATCAACCCATCCATAAAATTTATAACCAAATATTGGTCCTGCCTACAAGAATTGGTGATAAAGATGGAGCAGAGATTGAGGGAAAGACCAACCAATGACAGGCCGAACCTGAAACTCACCCTATGGGACAGAGCCAACCCCTGACACTATTAATGATACTTTGATATGATTGCAGACAAGAGCCTAGCATAACTCTACTGAGAGGCTTTATCTAACAACAGAAAAAGAAAGAAAGAAAGAAAGAAAGAAAAGAAACAGGAGCAGAGACCCACAGACAAACAATGGGTCAAGCTCAGAGGAGTGGGAGGAAGGACCAAGGAGTCACAGGGATCAAGGACACCACAAGAAGATCTGCAGAGTAAACTAACCTGGCCTAATGGGGCTTCACAGAGACTGAACCTACAACCCTAGTCTCTCTATATATGTAGCAGATGTGCAGCTTGGTCATCATGTGAGTCCCCTAACATTTAGAGGGAGACTCTCGCTGACTCAGTTGCCTGCCTTTGGATCCCTTTCCCCTAGCTGGAATGCCTTGTCTGGCCTCAGTGGGAGAGGATACACTTAGTCCTGCTGTGACTTGATATGCCAGTGTGGACTGGTACCTGTGAGGAGCCTCTCCTTCTCTGAGGAGAAGGGGAGGAGGAATAAGATAGAGGAGTATGAGGGTGAGACAGGGAGGAGAGGAAAGGGGAGGCTGCTGTCAGGCTGTAAAGTGATTTAATTAAAAAATAAAAAATAAGAAAATGTATAGTAATACATAGGTCAGGAATTGAAAGGCAGAGACACTTTTTAAGACTATTTAAAGTACCACACTGTTCATGGCTTAGAATTTCATTTATATAATGCTATCAACTCTTTGTGTAAAATATTTGAAGTATTTTCAAAAATTAAATGCTAACATTAGAGATGATTTTTGTTTTGGTGATCCAAACCACATACCTTAAGAGACAGACGTTGGAAAATGTATGAGGTACAGGTCCACATAATCCAACTGGAGTTTCTTCAGTGACCTTTCCAAGCAAAGTTGCACCAGTTCTGGACGATGAAAAGAAACCCAAAGCTACGACAGTTGAAAAATGGAGTGACATCAAATTTCAAGAGTTTGCTCAGTATTACTTTACCTAACACAGAGAATGGTATAACATTGCCAATCGTGGGAGAAAAAAAATCATTTTCCTTTTGAATTTTTTCTGTCTAATCAAGCCATGAACTCTCTTAGATATTTATTTATTGTGAGTTAATCTAGAAAACTACTCAAGTCTCAAAACGTTCATCAAGTAATAATAGTTTACCATCGACATTATATTTAATAATGTATAAAAGACTTTAAGAGTCTAATATACTATTACTGTTCATACATATAATTCATTATGATGTGTCGTGTTTGGTTAATGTACATGAAGGGACCATTACCACACCCTTAACTACTGTTTAAAATGTAAATAATCTCACTACCCCTGTCTGAGTACCTTGGGGATTTCCCAGGGTTTCCAAGAATACTATGAGAACAACCACTTTATTAAAAAACAGCAGCAATGAAGGAATTGTTCTCTACAATATAATGCTTTGTGGTCATCTAGGTCTAAATGGCCATTTGAAATCTTTCTAGAATAACAAAGTGTATTACCAGCAGCAAAACTGAGTGGCCTGCATTTTCTGACTCTGAATTCTTAGATGGTATTAACTTTAAATCATGAGTCTTTTTAGTAAAAAGGCTAACATAGCAATGATTGATTGCCATCTGTGCTTTCAAGCTTCACTAACCTTCACAGGAACAGGAAACAATGCACCTATGTTTATATAAAGAGAGCTGAATCAAAGTGTGCAAACTTAAAATAACCCATGGAGAGTTAGAGATGTGTTAGCAAGAGAGCACTTGCTCCTCTTGTATATAACCCATATTTGGCCTCCCAGTACCCACACATCATAGCTCACAATCTTCTTTAACTCTAGTTATAGAGGAGCTGACGTTCCCTCTTGGTACCAGACTTATTCATGGTACACATACATCTATGTACTCAAGAAACTAATACACTTACAATAAATAAATAATTTTTGAATCATACATGGGAGAAGAAAATACAAGCTATAAATTGAGTTGTTAGGCAATTTTGCTAGTCAGAGAGCTTGCATTTAGGAAGAATGTAAAATATTATGGTAGGATAAGAGTAAGATGTAGGTATTTCCAGTTTCTATTTTCCAATATTCTTTTAGTACAGGGCATAATGAACAGTGTCACACCAAAGATTTTAAATAAGTAAGAATATTAAAAAATCAACATATTGACATGGAGGACATAGAAATCATGTCCTCCAGTAACAACAAAAAATTTAATATCTACTTTATTTATAGATGTGAGGCTTTAAAAATGTAGGGAATGGGATGGGAGGAGGGAGAGAACCTTAGGGAGGATACAAAGTGAATAAAGTGTAATTAATAAAGAATTTTTTAAAATTTGGAAAAAAACAAAAAAATGAAGAACACGTGCAGTTTGTTTTTCATAAGAAGCTGATTAGGAAAGAATCCCCAAAACACAGCCATGGAACACATGATCAGGTGCTACATAACAAGGCTTTGGGCAGCAATGAACCACAAATACAGTGGTGGGCCTTGAGACTATTATGGAACAGGATTACTCCCATTGCCCAGTGACTTCATAGCCTGCAGAACATTGCAGCACAACATAGTACTCAGCATGCTGTGGTGATGGTCCCAGTCACAGAAAAGGAGGAGCCGCAATTATAGACATTATCTAATGATAAATAATGATTATAACTGCTACTTATGAATGTATTTTCATATTTTTCTAGAATTTATTTTTCACGTATGAAAACAAAATATTTACTGAGGAAAATAGAAGTCTAATGTGGTTGGCCAACCAAAACTGGAAGAAATCATGTGTAATTTATATATCTGAATGGAAAGTACTTTGAACATCTGTTTATTTCCTAGATATAGAAGAGGAAATATTAGTTACTTATATTTTATTTAACACAGAAAGTGTTTCTTATAATATTGAATCTTACTGATGAAAGAGAGAAATAGTGTTCAGAGCAATGAGAAGTTTTTATAGTCCTCAGGCAATCAAAAGGGAAAAAATAGTTTTCTAGTTCATTCTAAATCAATCTCTGGTGAACTGAGACTCATAAAAGAAGAGAGTTAACATTCCACCGATGAATATAAAGACATTGATGAGAACACTAAAGCTACCAGCTTTCTTTGTGTTTAGCATTGTATGCAACAATAAGAGCCAATTTGTGCATTTCACCAACATTCACTGCCTTAATCAGAGAGAGATTATTTTGACATAACCCAGCCCCTTCATTGAGTACCATATGCACAATACCTTTGTTGTGTAAAATATATCCTCCCTTTGATGCAGATGCAGTGCCATCTGCAATCTTGCTTCGGATGGCTAGTCCTACTTCCTCTTCATTTTGATACATAGCAGCAGAATCAATATGCTGGAAACCAGCGTCTATAGCTATTTTGGTGGCTTCTGTAGCCTTACTCTTCGGTACCTAAAATCGCAACCAAAAGCAGCATTTACAGATAAATACGACGTAGAAATTTAAGGTACAACAGCCACGGCAACACCTTTGTTCAGCATTGAGTATCCCTATGCCTTCTGCGAGGTGTCCATTTCCAGTGAAGAATCCAACCAAGGTTGCCTGTGCTTGCCCCACTGAGTCACAATAGTAGGACACCCCAGGAACCACTTTTGTCAATTGCAGATTAGTCTTTGGCATCAGGGGTTTCCACTGGCACCCTAGGAACTTATATTTGCTGGAAGAATTCTTAGGTAGATGAAGCCACGAAATTTACACAGGCAAAAGGGCATGAGACCACAGAAAGGAGAAACCCTATAGATGCTTCTAGGACCCTTCTCCCAGAAAACACATCAAAGTCTCTAACACCGAATTTGCAGTGATGCAAGTGTTTCAACAGAAACATTTTAGAGTCTTCATTTCTAAGATGTCCATTTGTAGCTTGTTACATAACCACGCTGACATAATGCATCCCAGATGAAAGCATATACACACACATGAGCCCTACAGATTGCACAGGCAGTTCATGGAATGCTTTCATTCCTATTATGAAATCAAAAGATATCAGTATCTCTAAGGATCATCTAAAGTTCAGTTTCCCAAAAGGAACTTGAGCATACAGTTCAATAGTGGGATGTAAAGTCTTTTTACACAGCCATTTTATCTGCATAACAAAAGTAAAAACTATCAGCAAGATGTGTATGCAACGGCAGAGATCCATATGTAGAAAATTAAGAACATTGTACTGAAAAAAATTCAGGGGCACGCCCTCCTTTAAGCTACAATTTCTTATTTTTCTGGGAATTGTGACTGAAGTAGAAATTACGTGGTTTTTGTATTGTTGAACAAATTTGAATTAAAGATATAGAACATCCTTAGTTAAAGAATGAAAATGAACTGGAAATTTAGTAAACATACCAAGATGTTTATATTGCGACATAAAATTGAGGAATTCAGGAAAAAGAAGAATGTTTTTCTCCAATGTTCATTGACTTAGAGTATCTATTCCTATGATAAAACAACATGACCAAATGTAATTTGTAGAGAAAAGGGTTTATTTCATCTTATAACTCTCAGGTCACACTCCATCTTTCAGGAAAGTCAAGGCAGAAACTCAAGAAACTCCTTCTGCAGGGAGGAGGTGATGCAAAGGTCATGGAGGAGTGCTGCTTACTGGCTTTTCCTTTTGGCTTGCTCTTCTTGCTTTCTGATGGAACCAAGGACTACCAAATCAGTGATGGTATCATTCACAAAAGACTGGACACTTCCATTCAGTCACTGATTTAGAAAAATCCCTACAACTAGATCTTACGCAGGCATTTTCTTAATTGATGTTCCCTCCTATCAGAGGATTTTAGCTTGTGTCAAGTTGACATAAAGCTAACCAGCACATGAACAAGAACAGTGCAGTTTTAAAATGAGTAAATATACAAACACACATCTCAACAGAATAATTGCACGTGACTGACAAGAACTTTTTAAAAACATCCTCAGTATCAGTGTTCATCAAGCAGTGCTCTCGCTAGCTTGGTTTCAGTCTTTCAGCTGAATTCCAATAGAGATGAATGGAAGAAAAAAACTAGTGCCCACAATAATCTGGGGGCAAGCTTTTGGATCAGCCCCCCGTGCTGAGTACTGTCTGCCAAGTACAGTAAAATAGAGGAACAGGTTAGCCCCACAGTTTCACCCAAAACCCAATGACTGCACACACCATGTCAGACCCACCTACCCAAGCTCTCTTTGTGTTTGAACCCTCCAGCCCAGCGTCTACCATTACCTCTTGAGGTGCATAGGTACCAAAGCCCAGAACAGGGATGAAGTGGCCATCACTTAGTCTCACTGTCTGCTGCTTAGAATTCATGGCTTCTCGGTCCTCCAACTAAGATGCTACCGTTTCTTCTTCTCTTACAGGATAGCAAATAAATGCTTGGCCTGGCCCCAGATTTTCTTGTAATGAATAACCAATGCAAACTGAGAAAACAAATGAAATCAGCTCTGCAACCTAAGAGGAGACTGGAGCAAGTTCATTTACTTTAAATCGTTGTCATTTACTCATTCGTATGTTATGTTTATGGGTATTTTGCCTGTATATATACATATGCACATACTTACACACAAATGCATATATGATATGTGTGTGCACCACATGTGTGTCTGGTGCTCATGAAGATCAGCGGAGCGCATACAAGCCCCTGGAAATGGAGTTACAGATAGTTGTTAGCTGCCATGTAGGTGATGGTGATCAAACCCAGGTCCTCTGGAATAGAACCCAGTGAGTGCTCTTAATCTCTGATCCATCACTCCAACTCCAACTTTTCATGAATGAGAAAGTCTAAAGATGGCTAAAAGCTGGAATGCAGCTCAGTGGCAGAAACCTTGCTTATCATGTGTATGATGTCGGGTTCATTCCAAGCACCACAGAGGAAAAAACAAAGACAGAGAGAAAAGGGAAGGAAGCAGAGGGGAGGGGAGAAAGGGAATGGAAAGAAGCAAGCTACATGATGATTCAGAAAGGACTAATCTTTTAAAAATACATCTTTATTAGACTCTTCCATGCATTCTTTTAAATTATTTCAAATAGATGAACTATTACTAATAACATCTTAACCTATGAAATGCCGCATACCTGTTTGCTTGTTGGTTTTGTGGTGGTGGTGGATGTTATAAAGTTTGATATTTAACACAATGATCTATGCTATACAACAA